AATGGGGTAAGAGGGAAAGGACTCTACAAAGATAGGATGAGTTTCTTTGTGGTTTAAACAAAAATTATCTATGATGGAAGAGTTTTTAACAGCTGGATGTACTGAATCCACGTCGGACGGTGATGGTTGCTGAGAAGACATATACGATAAGTCGGACCAATTAGACGATGATGGTGAAAAGGTAAATGAACTCGAGTTATCAGATGTAGAAGGAGAGAGTGAAGGGGATTTGGTGCCAAACTTTGGACTAGTCCTTCCTTGAAAACTCGAAAATGAATCGGGTGATCCCAGAGGATGAATCGGTAACGATAAAGGATCGTCTGGGATCGAGCTCACCTTAGAATCTTCTATTTCCGGATCCAAGCTACGAGCTGGAAAACAGTCAAAAGATTCAGGTGAGTCACACAAATAGGCTGTGGGTGAAAGTGGTGGAGATGCAAGGTCAATTGATGAAACAGGTTCATTTGGATCTTCATCAATATTTGCAGTCATCATGTCCATATCATCAAATGCTCCTTTAGTATCACAATCCAATTCTGAAAAGAATGTCACAATATCTTCTGTAGTTTCGTTTTCGATCTTGCTTTTGGTCGTGTCCCACCCATTTTCTCTAACGGGAAGGTAATTTTCTGAATCGGTATTAGATATATCGAAAGGTGGAACAACCCCATCCGAAATCGCCCTGTGAAAAATTTCGAAATCTGGATTATACTCCTCAACCTTCCGAACTTGCCCTTTGGAATTATCAGCCAAATTTTGGCCATCCATCAAAGCTTTCCAAAATCCCAATGGTTCATCACCTTCTTTGATGCTAAGGATAGGGCCTCTTGCCTTTTCGTATCGAATGATCTGCGACGCTGCTGCCTTAGCCGAGTTCAACATCACAGAGTCGCACTTCTCCCCCTCCCAGACATAGATAGCCAAAGGAACGTGCACGACAAATGCCCCACGAGAATCAAGCCCTTGGACAGTCGGAGTGTTCAACATCTTAGGTACAAGATGAAGTGGATCATAAGATGAATGAGGAGCCATCCTATACATCCTCAAAGTCGAATCCGGGCTAGCAGGCAGGGCATGAATCCGCTTCTGGCACTGCAATAATTGACAAGCAAACCCCAAGTTCGGATTAGCCACCCCTCGAGCAGCCTTTACCGATTGAAAAGCATCCTGAAAGCTCCGACCTTCCTTCCACATAAGGTACGCTATTACAAGAGAAGTCGACCGAGACACTCCTTGAAAACAATGCACGAAAACCCGACCACCGAGCTCACAAACATCTTCAATGTAATCAAATACATCATAGAGAATGCTAGTAATATCCTCTGAAGGAGTATCTTGCAACCAAAGAGTTTTGTAAACGAATTCACCCTTGAAATACTCAGGACACACAAACCCAACACAATTCAACACATGAGTGATCCCATTCTGCCTCAAAACCTCTCGATTCTTAGCCACAGAATCACTCCCTAAATACACATGATCAAGAATTTTCGAGCATTTCTTATCAAAATACGCAAGTTTATCCTTCTTAAACTCAAATTCCCTCACAGCCTTATCATCAACAACCTCTCTCGGAGTTTCTGGGTTTGGCCAAACACCAAGATCATCACAACCCGCCGGTGGCCACTCCTCAACACTCCGGCGACTGATCGAAAGCGGCTGCAGCGGCGGCAAACATAACCGAGCTTTATTACTATTCGACACTAAGCTCCGATTATCACGGGGCTTCGACGGTGACCGTTCCGACCACGAAACCGACCGGAAAAACGCGTTACGAGTACAACCGGCCACCCTCTTTTCATCCATCTCAAAAACTCTATACTACCCACTTAACTCGTATCCATTTGAGGCTTATTCCTAGAGAAATTAGGTACAGAACAAGAACAATCGCCCACTTTCAATCTCTAGAACTGTTGAATTCGCTGCCCAGATAGTCAGATGGAGAGAAACAAAATCAAGATTCGACCCAGTTCATCAAATTCCACTACCAGCAATTCCTGGACAATAATTGAAAATCAAACAGACAATTGGATGACTTACTTGAAGAATCTAAAAACCTTGGGGGACTTCGAATAGAAAAGTTGCAGAGCTTTGACACTTAGAGCAAACAAAACCAGAAATTGACGTCTTAGAAGCACAAATTGGACCAAGCCAATGGCAAGAGAAATTGCTTTGGCTTTGTAGAGAGAGAAAGAGAGTAGAGAGAGAGAGAGTCAAACCGCCACGTCGGTGTTGGATGGTCAGACAATGCATGCATGTCAAGTCTTGTGATGCCATTTATTATTGTTTTTATTTATTTATATAAAATTAAAAAAAAAAAAAAAAACTATTAATCAAGAAATTCAATATGGGATGGAGCTACGCTATGTTTACCCGGCTCTTCAGGTTTCCCTTTTTGACCCCTACACGTGGCAGATTCTAGATGGTGGTCAAGATTGTTTACCAACCTCTACTTGACGGTTGCTTTGACAGAAAAAAACAAGGTTGGTAATTTAATATCTCTACTTTTTCTTATTTTTGTATAATTTGAATTAAATTATTTAATTTTAAAAAAATAATTTTAAAGAAACTATTCCTTATATAAATACCTAATTTTCGTGAATATTAATGTAACAAGACGTTTGTATAAAGTCTACTATTTTTGCACGAAGAAATATCTTTATGCTAAATTGTATTTTAAAATAACAAAAATTAAAAATTAAAATTAAAATTAAAAATAATTAATAGCATTTCACACGTCATCTTCAAAAAAGTACCCAATATTTTATTTTTGTCAAAATTTGAAATTCAATGATATCTAAGAATGGAATTATTTTATTATATCATATAGAAAATTTCCATGGATTTCGTAATCTAATTACTGTCACAGATATTTTTTTTAGGAAATAGATAAAAAATTAAATTAAATAAATTAAATAATATGATTATTTTGAATAATGGGTCTCATAGAAAGTTTGGTTAATAATATAATATTAGGAGCAGTTAATTTTTAATTTTTATTTTTTTAATTATAATTATTTTTTACAACGTCGTCGATAAAATTTTTAAAAATAATTAAATTGATATATTGACGTTAAATGTTAATAGAAATATATTATTATTATTTTTTAATAATTCAGCTGTAATTGATATGTACTACGATAAAAAAAAATTAAATTTTTATATAATAATTTATTAGCGTTCTTTTTAATTGAATGGAAAATATGAGATGATGACGTGTAAATGATGACAAATATTAAATATTTAAAGAAAATTTTGTTTGACCAAATAAATAATTGGAATTTATTAATCTAATTTCATCATTTTTCCATTTTTGGAAAACCATCATAATAATAGATGCTTTGACAATGTAATCCTAGAGATGGAAGTGAAATTACCTAACTGTCCTTGGTTGATGGTTGTGAGGGAGGGGTATTCTTGTACATTTGATTAACTTTGACGGTGTTTGTAAAATCTATTTGAATATTAAAATAGTTGGGCCCTAAATGGGCCGTTTGAGGAGACATTGGGCCCAAATGGTGTTGGGCCATGTACGGGGAGAATCCGGCCCAGACAGATAAAAACAATAGCAAGTGGGAATGTGGTGGGAGGTTGAATGCTACAGTAGCCATTGTTGAAATGCTGAGGGACAAAAGGAGGCCCACTTATCTACACAATAGTGATTCTGGTTACGAGCCGAGCATCTCTCTGACCTGATAACTAGTATCACCTCCTCGTTCAATTCTATAGCGGGCCTATTACGAATCGTAGTTAGGCTCACGATTTTAAAACGTGTCTGCTAGAGAGAGGTTTTCACACCCTTTTAGGGAATGTTTCGTTCTTATCTCCAATCGATGTGAGATCTTATAATCCATCTCCCTTGGACGCTCAATGTCTTCACTTGCACACAGCCCACGTGTTTGACTCTAATATCATTTGTAACAGTCCAAAATCATCGTTAATAGATACTATCTGCTTTAGCCCGTTATATAATACCGTCAGCCTCATCGTTTTAAAACACGTTTGCTAGGGAGATAATTTCACACCCTTAATAAGGAATGTTTCGTTCTCCTCCCCAACTGATGTGAGATCTTACAATCCACCCCTCTTGGACGCCCAACGTTCTTGCTGGCACACTGTCCTCGTGTTTGACTCTGATACCATTTGTAACAGCCCAAGATCATCGCTAGTAGATATTGTTCGCTTTAGTCCGTTATGTAACGCCGTCAGCCTCACCGTTTTAAAACACGTTTGCTAGGGAGAGAATTCCACACCCTTATAAGGAATATTCGTTCTCCTCCCCAACCGATGTGAGATCTTACAATCCACTCCTCTTGGATGCCCAACGTCCTTGCTGGCACACCGCTCTCATATTTGGCTCTAATACCATTTGTAACAGCCCAAGATCATCGCTAGTAGATATTGTCTGCTTTAGCCCGTTATGTAACGCTGTCAGCCTCACAATTTTAAAACACGTCTGCTAGGAAGAGGATTTCACACCCTTATAAGGAATACTTCGTTCTCCTCTCTAACCGATATTGGATCTCACAAACACAAAGGAGGCTCGAGAATTTGTATAAGGCAAGGGCTGATAAAAGGTGGTAAGTAAAAGGCGTTTTCTGGTCCCCTCGAGTCCGTTGGTATTTTTGTGGGGTGTGCCATAGATGGAATTGATTTTATTTTATACTTTTAAACTTGATTTTTTAAATCATTAAAATTAATTAAAAATGTATTAAATAAATACTTAAAAAATAATTTTAAAATTTTAAAATTTTAGAATTACTTCCGTAAACAAATATTAATAAATAGAATATATGAAAATGACGTCCGAAAAAATCGGAGCCCATTGATCGACTACAATCCACAAAGATGAATTGGGCCCCCAAAGTTGAAGCCCATTGTTTAAACATATTGGGCCTGAAAAGCTGAGCCCATTATAATCCACCAAAACGCATTGGGCCTCCGAATAAAGGCCCATTCTTTGTGAATGTCAATCGCTCAAGCACTTCCCAAAGCTGCTACTCCGCCATCGCCAGGTTCCTTCGCCATCGTTCAACTGAGGGTTAATCTCTCTTTCACTGAACGGTCAAACAGTTTCGAGCATCTGAATTCGGCTCCAATGGATTCTTGTGAATGCTTCAGCATTGTCTTGCTTTAGCATTCCGACCGACATGCATTGATATGTATCACAGCGTAAACCGCCTCGTCTTTCGAGCTAGTATCACCAAGTGTGTCAAGGTTGGTTTAATTGATGAAGCTATCAGGATATTTGATGAAATGACTCAATCGAATTGTCCTGTAACGAGCAGAGACTACAATCGCTTTATTGGTGTTCTGATTAGCCGCTCGCGTTTCGATTTGGCCGAAAGTTATTACTCGAGAATGATACCTCAAGGTTTTTCTCTTACGCCATTTACTTACTCCAGGTTCATTTCTGCTTTGTGTGAAGTTAAGAATTTCGGCCTCATAGCTAGGCTGTTAGAAGATATGAATAGGCTTGGCTATATTCCTGACATTTGGGCTTTTAATATATATTTGAATCTCTTATTCCGTGAAAACTGTTTAGAATTGGCTTTAGAGTTCTTTAACGAAATGGTTTCGAAAGGAAGGGAACCTGATGTTGTAACATACACCATAATAGTTGATAGACTGTGCAAAGCCAAGCAATATGGCCAAGCTGTGGAGTTTTGGCGTTTTATGGTTCAGAAGGGGATTAGTCCAGACATGAAAGCCTGTACGGCTCTTGTTGTTGGGCTCTGCGATGGTGGGAAAGTTGATTTAGCATATGAGCTTATGGTTGGTAAAATGAAGGGTCAGACGAAGTTCAACAATTTGATTTATAATTCTCTGATGAGTGGGTTTTGTAAAGCTGGCCGGATCTCTAAGGCACTGGCCATCAAGTCATTTATGAGTAAGAATGGCTGTGAGCCAGATTTGGTTACCTACAATATTTTGCTGAATTTTTTTTGCGATGGGCTTATGTTGGAGGATGCAGGGGAGTCGATGAAGAAGATGGAGAGGATAGGAATGGAGCCTGATGTGTACAGTTATAATCAACTTCTTAAGGGTCTTTGCAAGGCTAATCGGCTGGATAAAGCATATAGATTGATGAATAAAATGTGGGAGAAAGGGTTGTGTGACACTGTTTCATACAACACTTTGATAAGTGCACTATGCAAAGCATTGGCAACTAGAAAGGCATACAAGCTATTTGAGGAAATGGGTCAGAAAGGCGTTGCTCCAGATGTGGGAACATTTGCAACTCTTATAAAAGCTTTTCTTAGAGAAGGAAGCTCCCATATAGCAAAGAGACTTCTTCATAAGATGACCGAGACAATTCTGTTACCTGATCACATATTTTATACAACGGTCATAGATTATCTTTGTAAGACGGGGAAGATTGAGATGGCTCAAGGCGTCTTTCATGACATGATAGAAATAGGGATCACCCCTGATGTGGTTTCATATAATGCTCTTATAAATGGGCTTTGCAAGGCCTTTAAAGTTCCTGAGGCCATGTTACTGTATGAAGAAATGCAAATGAGAGGATGCTGTCCTGACGAGGTAACTTTCAAACTGATAATTGGAGGACTTTTACGAGAAAAGAATCTTCCTTTAGCTTGTCAGGTCTGGGATCAGATGATGGAGAAGGGCTATACGCTTGACAGATTTCTATCCGAGGCTCTTATCAATGCCATTCAGTCGAGGGATGCTGGTTAACCATGGAACGAGGTTGTACTCTATCCTTCTTTCGTATTTTCCTTGTCTTAAAAGTAGCTCCCAATTCTTAAATACTATGTTGTCTGATTCTATGTGTATTGACACGATAAAACCATGAGGGGACAAATTTTTGTATGATCTAATTAGGATAACCGTCATCAAGTATATGAAGCCATGGCTGTCTTTCTTTTGCCTGATCGTTCTTTCATCCATACAAATTTCATATGCCTAGTGGTTTGTTGAGACATTGGCATGGGGGATGCATAATGGACTTCACCCTTATGATGTTGGTATTGATAGAGAAATTGATACGTCGAGGGTGTCCCCTTAATTTCTGTCCTTTATTCAAGGAGCTTAATGGCTTAAGAATTTGCTGAAGTTACGAGCTTTTCTAGAACTCCTTTATCCTATGTTAGAGTTGCCAGTCTTTTTCTCCTTAATCTTAACCTTTTTTTGTGTTCTTAACATCTCCTTGTATGTAATCCTAATCAGCTAAGAGCATCATTACCCTTTGCCCAGTCTACATTTACTTAATTGGTGGTATTTGGAATGAAGAGGGATACTAAGTGAACTTGTCAGAAACTGAATGTTTTCTCCCTTATCTTTGAATGCTACTGAAACGAACTTTTGAGTAGAACAATGATGCGAGATTTGACTCGGTTAAGTAATTATTTGTGCAGGAAACAAATAAGCCTCTTAAAGATATAAATCACATTTTGATACGACTGTTCATCCGTGGGATCCCTGGAAGATCCTTTGGCAATTGCGAGGTTAGCCACTTTATTTTCTTCCATATGCACTCTAATCTTGTAAGTGTTATATCAGTGGGGCATTTTTCCGCTATGAAGGTTTTTATTTCACGTTCATGAAAGCATAGTCAACATGGAATCTGAAGTTTGTATGTAATAATGAAAGATTCAATCTTTCTTTCTTGGAGGCTTGGACCAGCTCTTTGACTTCTGGTGCTCCATTCCGTGTTTGCATTCATATGTATCCATCTAATCCATTGGAGTTTTCAAGAGGGATTTGGTTATAATTGTACAACAGACATGGAGGCGCTTAGCTTTCCAGGCATTGCACCTGTCTTGGAGAAATTTCCCTTCTGATACAGTGTCCAAATTTCTTATACGACCCTATCTTCGGACTCGTGCTCATTGCAAAAGTCAGGTATTGTCGTTGTTATTCATTAGATTGAAGCTTTGTTATTCCACTCACCCTAAAAATCCCACAAAATAGCACACACTTTAGCAAACCATAAGAATTGGTCCTTTTCACGAAAGGGCAGATGGAGGAGGAACTCCCCAATCATATCACTAGTGTTCCTGTCCCGAGCTAACGAAAAATCAAATGTCTGAAAGAAATATTTCAAATGCATCTTGCAGAATCACATCTCCAAAGAAAAGAAAAAAAATTGATCTAGGTCTTCCTCTGCCTTCCGAGAATACAACAAAACGGGTCAACTAACCATGACATTTTTTCTTGCAAGTCGATCGATAGTATTAGCTCGGCCATGTAAAACTTGCCATATAAATAACTTCACTTTCCTCAGAATCCTAACTCTCCATGGAGAAGAAAAAACCTTCTCACATAAGGATTCAACAAGCTACAAAAAATGGATTTGCAAGAAAAACCCTCCATTAGGTTGGGAGGACTCTACACTTAGAACATCCTTTCTCCCAAGCTTAAAACGACCTCTCCAAGAAAGACCAAGAGGGAGAGACAACTTCTGTTGCTCCCTATTGGTCTAAGAGTGACAAAACTCGAACGAAATGGAAACTGAGCTCCCCTACTAAACCAAAAACTCAGACACCTCACGATTTTGGATGGAAGACAAATGATAGAGACGAGGGAACACAAAGCAAAGCGGTCTATCCCCCACCCATTGATCTTCTCAAAAATACGTTTCCTTTCCCTCCCCCACCACACAATGAACCAAGTGAGAGAAAGATAAGAGCTCAAACAAGATAGCCCTCCATAAATTCCAGTAACTGCCTTTAACCCCACTCGACAACCATTCAAGGACCAAACTTGCTTGCATTAATCCTGTGCCAGATAGAGATGGGTTCAAGGGTGAAATGTAAAAGCCATTTGGCTCACAAAGCTTTGTTATGAGTCCTCCTAACCAAGTGCGACCCTTTTCCTTCTTCCACCTCTTCCCAAAGGAAACTACATATAAGCTTCTCAATATTCTTACAAACCATGTATGGAGCTCTAAAAAGAGAGAAATGAAGCTTGTTGAACAAAACATTATATTATCACTTTGTCAATATGAAATGAATGTCTGTGATCTCATATTATGGATTACATTATTTAGTTACATAATGGAAGGAGCATTCTATTTGTAGAAGGTTGCACTTAGTCTACTATATATATATATATATATATATACTGTAGAAGGTTGCATGGTCATGTCTGTATCTGTCTGATGTGAACATGATGCTGTTGTACCATTTTCCCTCGGGTTATTCTCATTGCTATGTTTTTTATTTTCACAAAAACAAAAAGTCTAGCATGTAATATATTCTCTCTTATTTATTTATTTTCCTTCTAAGCTAGGACTAGGAAGCCCTGCTTAGCATCGAAAACTACCAGGACCGAGGATTGTATTTCTCATCACATCGATGGCATAAGAACAATGGTGGTGCAGTTGTGAACACGTTCAAGGCAATGTGAGTTTGTGTAATTTTAGTTTGCCAAAAATTTGCACGAAAAGTCGATGTGTGTTTATATATATGCTAGAGTTGTTCATAAACTGTCTAGATATCATGTAACTGCAATAAAAATCCATGAATTTGCAGAAGACAGAGCGGTGAATCACAGCAAAGATAGAAGTCCAATTGAGAAAGTTGGATTCAATACAGAGATACCTTGCCCTCGCTTCAATTTGCAAAAGAAAAAAAAAAAAAAAAAGAAATAAATACTCTTCCAGGTCCATTGGTGATTATTTTAAATGATGAAATTTCATTCTTTTTGTCGGACTGATTGTTTTTTTTTTTTTTTTTTTTTTTTTTTTTTTTTTTTTTTTTTTTTTTT